GAATTTCTTAACAGTGTGCGCTTGTTCTTAGCGGCAGATAAGGGCTGAGCGTGAAATTCTTAATTAAGCAATAAATAGAGAGTGGGGTGTCAGCAGATGTAGCCAGTAGCCATGGCAACGGGAATCACATGGGCCAGAGAGCTGAGATGCAGGCCTGGGGCCTGGGCCTGACTGACAGCTGAAGAATCCGACAAAGCTTGTAAACCAGATTAATTAGCTGACTAATTATTTCATAGCGTTAATGTAACTAAAAAATAAAAATAGTTCACCATGAACTGAAACATCCCTGGGAAGAGAAAAAAAAAAAAAAGAAAGAAAGAAAACCAGCGGGGACAGAGGCAGTGGGAAACCGGCTGCGGAAGGCAGGGGCAGGAGCTGTCGGGGACGCCAGTCATAGAAACGGGGAAGTGGGCTCGCCGGGTCGGACTCCGACTTTGCAACTATAAAGGGACACGTGCTCCACCGTCAGACCCACTGGCTAGCCCGGCTCAGCCCTTACAGTCCTCCACTGCCATTCATAACAGTTTATCACATCAAACGCCGCCCCTCCGGGAGGCTAACACAAACCACAGCACACAAGTACTTCCCTGTGGTCTACTCTGTAAGTAGCTCTTTGGGCAGAAGTCTCAGGGGCTTTAGAAAGGCACCCTGAACCAATCTCCTTAAGAGAGCTTCTTAAATGAGCAAAGTTATCTTATTCTGTGGGTAACAACTGCTTACATCGCATGGTAGTAAGATTCAATCCAGGGACCAATATATCACAGATGTCGTGTTAACAGGAATCTGCTTTCTGACAAAATCTAGTCAAGGAAGACAGAATGAGACTCTATCAGACAAGTTACCACAGATATACTGAGTTCGAGGCACACGAGCTTGTTAATCTTCTGGGGGAAGAGCAACATTCTAGAGAAATAACTTACTGAGAAAATGTGCGGTCAAACAACACGGCATGCTAATCACCCTGGAAGATGTTTGGGTGTTTTGTACCACAATTCCAAGAGGTAAGTACTCTTAACCTCGTTGGTGGAGCATTTATCATCTCATGCCCCAAATTAAATAGCCAGCCAGCCACTGATCAAAACCTGAGGCCGGAAGCTCTGGCCAGGAGCCTTCCAAAGAACCTGCATTCTGTAAGACATTTGCTGAACAAAGACAAAACCTGCCTTGGTGAAGAAGAGAAAACATGCTATATGTGCAGGAGTTTTTCTTTGTCACTGGGGATCGGTAAGAAGTTTTCTCCCACAACCCTGCCTGGCACGCTTCCCCCCACCACCCTTTCTGGTCAGTGGTCCATGATTCCTGAGTGGGCAGCACACTCTAGTGGAGGGCTGAACACCAGGAGCTGGAATGCCTGGGTTCCGGTCTTTGCCCTTCTCGGCTGGGTCGAAGACTGGTCCAGCATCTTAAATCACACACTAAGCAGCCAAACAGAAGAAACGAAGATAATTGTGATTTTTTTGCAAACTTCCTCTCTGGGGTTGGGGGGATGTGGTAGGGTTGCAAACAAACAATACAGAAGACAGTTCACTTAGAAGTGGTCAAAGAATGAGAGAAGCACAGCCAACTGTCGCTGGAGCAGGACTCGGAATGAAAGGGCAGCTGGGGAAAGGAGCCGGGTCCCCCCACGCCCACCCCGCAAAGCCTGTCAGGAAACTCAGTGGACCTGGAAGAGGTCAAGCAGTTTCCCTACGGTAAAGTGAAACTTCAGTGTACACAACTCACTCTCCCCATGATTTTTTGTTTTTGTTTTTGTTTTTTTAATCCTAGGAATATGTCCACATAGACTGAAGTCTTGACTTCTCTTCTTGGAGTAAATGTATTTTATGCAAATTATCGCAATCACAGACCTATAAAGTCACAAGTTCCAAAAAAAACAATTAAGTGGAAGTAACAAACTAATCATTAGGTAACCGGAACTCTATTGTCTGGAGGCTGTTTGAGGTGTCAGCTACCACTCCCTCACCGCCATTACGGCACTGGTCTACGGAACACATGGTAGCCTGATGGTCAACTGCCTAGCGATGGTATCAGCTCCACACTGAGGACATCCCAGTCACACCACCCAATATAGCTGCATGGACGCCAGCATGGAGGACCAGCATGAGCCTCAGTTCCTCCTACGTCCTCAAGTCCTCCCTGGGCCACACCAGGAACGGGAACAGATCTGGCTTCGCCACCCACCTACTCCATCATTCAGAGGACAGAGGATGTACAGATGGCTGCGAAGGCCACTGCTTGGAGCACTGGGAACCCTCTCCAAGGAACCAGGATCTCCAACCTTACTAAACATTCCATCAACCCTCTGTGACTTCCTGTT